AGGATAATGTTTAAAGGATTCCCCCTGGTATAGTGGAAGCTATCCCTGCCTGTGGCAGGGGGTTGGGATGAGATGCTCTTCACGATCCTTTCCAACCCAGATCACTGTGGTTTCAGGATTCTGTGATCATGTTCCATTCTCAGGGGGATTTGCATGACTTTAGTCTCTCTCCACAGACCAGAGGCTGCACTTTGGCAGCCCTGGGGACCAGTAAGCTCCTGAAAAGCATGGTGTCTTGGTTTGACAAGACAGGAGTCTGTGAAGGAGTGCAAAAGCCTCCTGTGCAATGGAGAAGGTAAACCCCCTCCCTTCGAATTACCAGGATTTTTATATTAAAAGCCTATCAGGCAAAGATATGGGAATGGGAGTAACAATTCTTTACTAGGAGAAAACTAGATAACAATTTAAAAAGGCAAATGCAATTGGTACAAACAAAACTAGTGATAAAGTCCACAACCTGACACCCTGAGGAGTTGGGGTGTTGGTAGCAGTCCGGTTGAAATGACAGCTGCTCCTCTTGCAGTGGCTGATGAATTGCAGCTGAAGTGGTGATCTTTAGAAGGGTATAGTTTTCTCTGAAGATCTGGTGACAGTTGGGCCGGTCTTCCTCTGGGAATCCAGTGAAGGGGCCACTTCTCTGGGAGTCCTGCCGAAGGAGCTGCTTCTCTGGGAATCACACAAAGAGAGAGCTGCTCTGTCTCCCAAAAGGTACCACTTTATACAATAAAAGAGTGCTTGGCTTCCTCCTCTGGGTGGAGCATCTCACAATGGGATGGTGTTACGTTACCAGCCCTGCAGTGAATCAGTCAATGGCCCATTAACAAACCATTACCTCTTCAGAGCAAACCATTGTTCTTGGAAGAGATAACAAACCTGCCCAACCTCCAACAGATGGCAAATAGAATACAAGCTTATCTTACAAACCAGGACACATGGCCAAGGTGAAGAATGGTATAAATGCTGCTGGTTAGTCCAAGGAGCTCACTAATGAGTATGAGACAAGAGCAGTAGGTAAGTGGCTGCTCTGTGACTCCTTTAGAAATTTAGTGGGAAGGGTCAGAGACCAGGGAATTAAAAACTAGATATCCAACATTAAATATATTTTTCTTTTATGTCAACATGTGATTTTACTGCTTAGAAATTCCTTCCATACCATTTGTTCCCAGTAGAAATTTTGTGTCCTGTCTTAAGAATTTGGCTTCAAAGGGTGCATGTTGTGGAGTTTTTTTTTTGGGCTGGAGAATTTCTTTCATGGGGAGGAAAAGCTCCTTAGCTCTACTGGCAGGGCTGAAGAAAGGTGCCCACAAACAGGAAGGAGAATATGGAAAAGGAGAAACTTTCCTAAGGAGTACTGGTAGTATTCAGGTTGGGAAAAAACACCCTTCAGGGAGTACTTCTGGGGAGTGAGAACAAGTAGCAGGTAAAAAGTAGATTGATGATTCTGTGACTTTATAAGGACCAGCTCAAGGCCATGCTGGAAATATCTTGCTTGTTTCCAGAGAGCATCTTTTATTCTACAAAGCAAAAACTGCTGAAATAGACTTTTTTTAAAGGTATCTACATCCCTGAGGCCAAATGATTTAGCAATACACTAAGGAGTGAACAGTGCATTTCCCAGTGAAAAAGGATCAGATTCTTTTTCCACCCTGCTCTTAATTTTGGACTGCCTATAATTCATTAGATCAATGCCAAACGGAATTTAAGAGGATGAAGCAAATAGATTTACTGAGTCATTTAAGGAGGAATTCACATTTTTACTCAATTTTTTAGTTCAGAACTAAGTGCTCTGTGTGATTTAATGTTACAGTTTTCCATCCAGACACAAATTCTGTATCAAAAGTTGAAGATGTGCAAGTGGGGTTGTAAAGGGATGCACAGTCATTCTGC